CATGTGCTCAGTGATAAAGCAGATAGTGTTGGAAGATTTCTCTGATTTAAGTTAATGGAAATGGGTAGGCAAGACTGGCCACAAAATCGAGTTATTGAAGTAAATAGAAAACAAGAGAAATTCTCACAAAATGCACAGAAAAGGGACAAATAAATCAAGATTTTAAAACAGAGAAAAAATTAAATGCAGAGGGCCAACCCAGGAGATGCAGGCTATTCATAATAGGAATACCTGAAACAGGGGACAAAGCAAGTGAAGCTGACATAATAAGTAAGGAATTAACTGAAGAGAATTTTCCAGAGGCAAAGAACAGCGTAGGGCTACATATGGAAAAGGCTCAGAGGGTACCTTCAAAACTTAATGAAAAAAAATCACCTACACATATGCCATTGACTTTTTTTTTAATTTCAAGGATGAAGAAACTCTTTTGAAAGTATCCAGAAAGAAAAAAGGGAAAAATGTCAGTCTGACCTCAGATTTTTCTCTTGCAATTCTCAATGATAGAAGATAATGAAACAGTATCTACAGAGTTCTAAAGGAAGATAATTTTGAATCAAAAATCATACACCTTAGTAAGTTACTATTTCTGTATAAAGGCAAATGGAAGACATTCTCAAATATCCAGGAGTTAAGAAAGTATTTCAACTTAGAGCCTTCTTTGAAATTTTTGCTGAATGATTTACTGCACCTTACAGAGAACAAAAATTAAAAACAACTAGATAATAGAAAGGCACTTGTATGAAAGATTTGATGGTAAACATTAAAACTATTTAAGAAGTATATAGAGTAGTAAAACTAAATTTGTAAGCTAGATCCAAAAATTTTCAGTTTATGTAGTTTTAAATTACCAGAGAGCATGCCAAATATTCAGTGTGTTGTACAAATAAATGTTTTATTTTTACCATGTAGAATTACAGATAAAGATACACGTTGTTAAACCAAATATATGTAAGATAAAAGTGTTCTGTCACTGTGGACAAGTAAAGGCATTCTAAATGTTAATCTGACAAAATTGGAAAATGGTGCAATTTTATTTCCTTTATGTTTAATTACAGAGAAAAAAACTAGCAGGCTTGTCTATAATGTTAATGCCGATAGTGTGAGAAATTTCCAAAGCACTGGTTGGAGAGGAATGACTAAAACATTGTCTGATATACCAAATTGGGAAAAAACAGTAGTTATTGCATCAGATGGTAGTTCATGTAAGTTGATTTGTCATTGAGTCATGAATAAAAAGTAAAATATATGCATTCTAAGGTTTCGGAATTGAAAAGAATTTTAAAAAACAGGAAAAAGTAGCAAAAGAAAAACAGCAAAGAAACGCTAAAATTATCTAGATTGATAGATAGAGGTTAATTATCTCATAAACTAGTTAAATTCCCAATTAATTAGATCTATATTAAGTCAAATATCAATCTCTGTGGCCGCGAATATAGCTCAGTGGCATAAGCGCCTTCCTGGGAAGCACAAGGTCCTGAGTTTGATTCCCAGTACCAAAATAATAATAATAATAAAACTACCCATCTCTGATCCTAGATACCAACATTTGTGTAAAGCAATCCTCAAAGGGTTTTAAAGGTAATAGAAACTCTTTAGGTCAGTGATGGCGAACCTTGTAGAGACTGAGTGCCCAAACTACAACCCAAAATCCACCTATTTATCACAAAGCATCAATTCTGAAGTTAAACCTGAATATTTTAGTTTGGAAAAAACAACTCTTATCCGGTGCTCAACTGAATGGAGGACTTGGCTCGCATGTCAACAGAGAGGCCTCTGTGTGCCTGCTGCAGCACACATACCATAGGTTCACCACCACTGACTTAGGTCATAGAAATAAAAACATTCTTACTTGGCAGAAATAAGACTAATACAAGACAGCTCACATTTAAAAGACTTTATGTGGTAAATAACGTGGCATTTATATATTAGATCAGTTTTCAATATCTTGATGTGGGTGGTAGTTTTCTCTGTAAACTGGTACATATTTTTTAAATGCACATTTAAAATAGTGCAATTTATGCACTGAAAGTTCACTGAGTAATCTTTCAATTAAAGAGAATACATGTAGCAATAAAAGAAAGAAAATGTGTTAAGTGAAGTAAAGGTGACTTTGTATGATACTACTTATGTGAAATGTCAGGAATAAGCAAAACTTGTAGGCGTAGGATGTAGGTAAATGATTGATTGCTTGGAGCTAGGATGGCAGTAAAGGGGAACAGGGGATTGACTAAGAGGTGTCTGTCAAAGGAGCGGAGATGTTCTAAAAATAGTTAAAATAAAATTTTAATTTAGTACCTTTTTTGCACTTACTACTTCTTTTACAAAATGATACTTATAGATTGGCACTTTTTTTTTTTGGTACCGAAGATGAAACTCATGACCTCGTGCTTGCCAGGCAGGTGCTTACGCTACTGAGCTAAAAACCTGGGCCTAGGTTGGCACTTGTAATAAAAACAATTTTTAAATGGAAACTAGAGAAGCGGCCTGCGAATTGTGGGTCATTGTGAGCCTGTCTGCAGGCGGAGCCTGTACTTGGTGCACGTGATCATGAAGATCTCATGCTATGAACATTAAAATGGAACTCACTCTCAGGGGCTCATGTACCAGCACAAAAGGTGAGGAGGCAGATGTGTGCTACTTTGTATAAATTCCTACCTACTTTTTCCTTGTAAAACCCATGCCCGGGTCACCCTGTGAAAGAAACACTCTCTGTTCTACTAAAATAAGACTCCAGAAGAAAACTAATGTGACTCTTTATGATAAACTCTTAGTAGAAATATATGGGTGGTTGGACCTCAGGAAAGTAATGTTTCAAGACACCACTTTGCACACATGTCTGCTCATTAAGCACACTTTCATTCACCACTGCTATGACCTGTTGGCTTATATCAGCCTCAACATCAGTGTAGCATCTGTAAGTACTATACTTCGTTACCTGTTTTATGCCAAAAGAAAAAGAAAAAAGAAAGAAAGAAAGAGAATAAATGAGAGGAGATCTCAGGCTAGGGTGGGCTTAGAAATCTGCCATTTCCATGCTGTACATTGCCGGAGCACAGCTGTTGAATTGGCTCTATAGTGCTAAGCCCTATCTGAGCAAAATATTATGCTACTATTAGGTGTGGCCAAGTTTGTCAGAAACCTAAAACCCATTGAACATATCCAGTGCACATTGATCTGCTACCTGCTGGCAAAAATAAAAAAGTCTAAAACTCCAAACAAAATCTCAGCTTTAACTAAGGTTCATAAACATATTACAGTAGCATCCATTAAAGAATGAAATGAAGGAATGGAATTTTTCCATTCCTTTAGGTATATCAAGACAGTTTTAGAAATAGATGCTGGAGTGTTGGGGATTTAGCTCAGCGGCACAAGCATCTGCCTTGCAAGCGTGCAGTCATGAGTTCGATCCTCAGTACAAAAAAAGAAAGAAAGAAAGAAATAGGTGCTGGTTCTATTGTACAGACCAGGGGAAGCCTGGATATACATTTTGTTATGAACAATTGTTTCAGTGAATGAACAAAGCTGATCTGCCTTTCTAAGTCCTGAGTGACATTATCTAGGGTTTATACTGTAGTACATTGAGCAAGAGACTGGGGTCAGGGATTGTATTCAGATCCCTAAACTATATTTTATAGTTAATTTATGCCTGTAACCTCTCCTCTCCTCTCCTCTCCTCACCCTGCCCTCCTCCCCTCTTCCCTCTTCCCCTCTAACCTTCCCTCCCCTCCCTTCCCCCATACATGCCAACATACTTCTTAATGTGCAGAACATAACAGAATAAACAGACCACTGTTGGAGGGGAAGGTACAAGTAAAAGGAGAAAATGTGGAACTTCAGTAGCAACAGTCCTTATCAAATTTCAGAGACAATACAGAATAGCTCTGAATATCTTTCTCTCCTTGCCCTTTAGTGTTTAACAGGATCTTAGTTTAGTCTTAGAGCTGCAAGCAACATTTTATGATGGTATTATTTGTGAGACATGAAATAGCTCCTCTGTATAAAACTATCTTCCTCACTGGGAAGGCTTTCTAAAAATTCTCACACTTGATGAACTCATGAGATCCTTCTTAAAGAACTATATGTGCTGTCAGACCATTATGTCACAGGAAGTATTGGAGACGGTTACAGAGCAGTGTAACGTGGTAGGTAGTTGTCCCATTACCACTGAGCAAAGCCTTGTGAGGGTGGCTAACAGAACTGGTGAATTCTAGGAGGAGTTCAGAGAAGTCTGCATATGAGGCCAGGAGAACAGACCCAAGTGACATCCCATGGGGGAGACCAATCGATCCAGATATGGGGGGTACTGTGTATCGAGGTGAAGGCACATGATAGGATGTTGAAATGGGGGCATCACAGATAAAACTTTGCATAGGGGTGTCAATGATGGCTGAGAAGTGTTCTTCCCCATACTCTTTGGGATCAGTTACAACATTTTTCAAAGTATCCTGGGTAAAGAGTGAATGCTCTTACAGCATCATAAAGATTTCATACTTAAGTCCCTCTGCTGTTGCCCCTCCAACTACGTGACCTTGCTGTCTGAGACTGCAACCATTCATTATGAGAGCTGGACTCCCTCAGCCGTATCTGCAATCTAGGCAAGACTAAACTTTTTGAATGACATTGGTCATCCTACTACATGAAACAGGCTTTTATTTCCTCATTCACAGTAAGCTGTACATCATGTCATTGTAGCGGTGACAGGAACAGTTTCCCTAATGTATCTGTACCTCTCACCTAGGGAGGAAGGGGGTGTGTATTCACCATGGTCTACCCCACTGAGCAGTGAGGTCCATATAACAAGCATACGCATGCACACAAAGAGGCCCCCCTGGACACAGCTCCATTGACAAAGGCTGCAAGGGTGTACCCAGAAGAAGAGAAGTCAAAAGTCCATGAGACCAAAAGTTTATTGGTGATTTGGGTACCAAAATGGATCCTAGATCTAGCTGTCCTACCTACCTTGGTCACAGTCGCAATCCCTGCACTCCATTTCAGCTTACCTAGGGTCAGTTAGTTCATCTTCCAGGCATAGTTCCAGAACAGAGATGTTGATACTGCTGCTGGACAAACTTGACTTTAACAACCTCGGGTCCTGAGGCTCTTCAGACTCTTTTTTCTTCTTCTTGATAAAAAAGCTCTTGAAGGCTTTAAATTTGGATTTCTTCTTTCCTGAAAGTGAGAAATGGAAGTGAGGCAGAATATGACGGAACAAGGGAAGCCATGAGAAGAGATGGGCTGCATGTCAAGAGTGAGGACTATGACCCCAGGAACTTAGAGATCGCGCCCCCAGTTCCCACAACAACATTCATTGATTTTATACCCCTGTTAAGAACTTAGTAAGCAAGTACATGAGTTGTTTGTGAAAGAAGCAGCCCAGGTCACAGTTTTAGTAAGCCTCTATCCATCTCAAACTCACAAGGTATTCTCTTGCCTTCCAATTTCAATGGTGAACACATACTCTTCTCTTTCCTCATTCTAGAAGTTCATTAGTGTGAAGACATGATTGAGCCAGTGTAAGCACTTGGCAAGCCCTGATGGCACACCATTTCTAAAATCTGTGAAATTTTGAAGTCTCTATGTTTTACTATACTCACAATTTCATACTTTGATGCTAGAAAATGTACAACAACTGGCTCTCTGGAAGAAATGCCTTGATCTGCATTATTTGTCCATTTGTGTGATCTAAATACTCCCACCATGGGTAATTTGAAGCTACTAATACCCTTACCAACATTGGAAGAGTCATAATCAGTCTCCCAAGCCAAACTCAGCCTGTTTCACTCTGCCACTAAATAATTCATACCAGGGAGGTTGAGCTGAGCAGAGATACTCTCACAAACAGGAAGGAAAACACTATAATTCTATTGTCATTTTCCCAAAACAGAAGAAAAAAAGATTTATTGATTCTAATAAGTGGGTTTCTTCTTTATAGTCTTCTCAAAGTGAAGCAGCTTTATATTCAGAGCATAGTACAAAGAATATTATGAACATTCACTATGCTTAGAAACATAGTGACTGTTGAGGTGTGGTGGAGGACAGCTTGGATTTGGGCAGAGCCCTGCACCACGGTGACATCAGTCAGCCGCCCTTGGTACAGAGAGAACTGGCAGGATCTTCTGGGGCTGAACCACACCTCTGGTTGGGACCCAATAAGCAGATACAAAATAGTCGCGACTCTGTGATGCCCACAAGGTACAGTTAACTTGCGATTGATGAACAGAGGCTGAAGGCTCACCTGCACTGTCCCTGCATCCGTGCATGTACATCAGATTACAACAAATTGGGGAGGGCAGCAAAAACTTCAGTCAGCATGCTTCAGAAAGACCCCAAGCAATACGGAGAGGGCCAGAGACCCCCCCAGGACACACCAGTATGAAAGAAATCAGAAACATGAAAAGAGAGAGAAATAAAAAAAAAAAATCTCCAGCTGCCGAACCTGAGAAAATAAGCCCAAGAGAAGTAAATACAGAAGAAAACCAGCACAGTAACCATCCATTACTAGATACAGCATCAGCTGATATAAAGAAATACATTCATGGCCTCATAGATGAATTTAAAGCTGTACTTCTGATCCAAGTGAGGCAAGATATAAAGAGATTAATTAAAGAAATGATAAGCCCCTCCCAAGAGAACACAGATGGAGGAACAGAGGAACTCAGAAAAGAAAGAGAAACTTCTGAAGAAGAATTTAAACATAACCTAGAATACATGAAACAGATCCAAAGAAATTACCAGGAAACTAAAATTCCATTGAAAGCTGGCAAAATGCCTTGACAAAAACTAAAGTTAGCCTTTTGAAACTTGAAGGGAGATTTATGATATATGATCACGAAAGAAAACACCTCTTACAAATAATGAGGAACCAGAAATAAACAATTCAAAGGCTAGAAGACAACAAAAGGAAACACAGCTTAAGAATAGAACACCTGAGTGAGGAATCAAGAGTAACCAAAAATGAACTACAAAGAATATTCACAGATATATTAAAAGAAAACTTCCCAAGCATAGGAAAAAGAAATGATATCCAGATAAATGAGGCATGCAGAACTCCAGCCAACTACAACCAAAACAGATCTACACCCAAACATATAATAATCAAGATTCCAGAAATCCACCAAAAGAACAGAATACTAAAAGCAGCCAGGGAAAAGAAGCAGATTACCTACAATAGGAAAATTATCAAAATAACAACTGACTTATCAACACAAACTCTTAAGTCAAGAAGGGAATGGGGAGAAATATTCCAAGTCCTAAAAGAAAATAATGTGCAACCAAGTCTCATACACCCGTCAAAACTCTCTCTCAAAATTAATGGAGAAATAAGATGCTTCCAAGACAAGGAGGAACTGTGGGAGTTCATGGTCACCAACACAACCCTACATAGAGTGTTGAAGGACATTCCAGAGAAAGAGAGGAAAGGATACCTGGATTCCAGCAACAGTGGCAGAGAGGCCTCAAGGAATGGGGCAGACAGTAGAATGAGGGATTAAGGTGGACAAATTATAGCAGTAAAGTGGAGTAGCAGATATGAGGCAGAGATGGTAAGCTATAATCTTTAATATAGATCGCCTTGATACACTAAAATAAAAAAAAAACAGGCAGAGTAGATTAGGAGGCAGGCTCCATCGAGATGCTCTGAATGGGAAATACACTCAACCCGAAGGAGGGTTAATAAACTGAAAGTCAAAGATGAGAAAGCAAAGCTATATGCGACAGGAAACTTTAAGTTTATAACCTGAACAACTATTTCTAAGATGGCAATATGTAACTTATCAACTGGTGATTTCTTACTGTTTATTTTTCTGTAATTCTGTATTATTTCTACCTTTTTTTCTCTCCATTTTTTGTTTCTTTCTCTTTAAATAAAAAAAGAAACACAGTGACTGCATAGAAAAAATGCAGAGCTACAGAATTGAGAGTTGCAAATTCTCTGTGTGTGTCTCTCTCCTCCTCCTCCTCCTCCTTCTCCTCCTTCTTCTCCTCCTCCTGCTCCCCCCTTCCTCCTCCTCCCCCCTTCCTCCTCCTCCCCCCTTCCTCCTCCTCCTCCTTCTCCTCCTTCTTCTCCTCCTCTCTCTAACCTTCCTTTTATTTTTCAGTGCTGAACATTGAACTCAGGACTTTCTCACTGAATTGCATGCCCATCCTTTTTTTTTTAATTTTGAGACAGGGTCTTCCTAAGTCACTAAGTTTCCAAGACTGAACTAGAACTTGTGATCCTCCTGCTTCTGCCTCCCAGAATGCTGAGATTACAAATGTGTGCCACTGCACCATTATAAACCAGCAAAGACAAAGAGAAGAGAGTCACAAACTAATGACTCTCTTCTGAATAAAAACACTCTAACTCTTCAGATTGCAAAACCAAATTTACAAAACATAACTATTATATGAGAGACAAAATTATGTGCTAACACATTTTGTGGTCCTATAGTAATAAAATGACTAGTGACCCTAGAACTGTAACAGGTGTTAAAATTAAGAATGCATATATTCCAACTCTCCCCTCTGCATTTTCTTTCTTTGCTGAAAAGGAGCAAATTATTTTCCCACAAGGATTCAAAATATCTTAAGTAACTTGTGTCTCCTATAAACACAACAACTAGAAATTCTTTTCATCTGACTTGCGGGTAGCTCTGAGAATAGTAGTCATACATAAGCAGTTTTGTTAGCAGAGAGTTGAGGCAACACCTGAAGAAGGTAACCGCTCAGTGTGGTGGGTTGGATTTTTGTTGATCCAGAGGAGTGCCTCAGAACATAATCATAGCCTTAATGAGCAAGCCATTGCCACAGATATGTCAAATGTCAGGGTCTAAATCTTCAGTCTACTCTGTGTGCACACACGTGTGTGTATATGTGTGTTTAGTATTAGGGATGGAACCCAGGGCCTCACATTTGCTAGGTAAGTGTTCTGCCATTGAGCTACATCCCCAATCTCTTCAACCTGCTTTTGATTAGAAGACCTTCCTACCTCCAAATGCAACATTCCCTCATATGTGAACATGAGCCCTGGTCTCATCCCTGGGAGTGAGATAAAGCCAGGTATCATTCACAAGCTATGCTACTTTTGAAACCCTAGTGGAATCCAAGATAGTTGCCATATGTTCAAGTGTACCAACTGGCCTGTTATCATACTTTGCTTTTTAAAAAGATGCCTTTAAATTTCCCGCAGCTGAGTCCTTTCCAGGATGATTTTTCAAAAGCTACTTAAAGCAAAAAGGGTAGATAATACCCTAAACAGTACGCAGAGATCAACATCCTTTTGTGCCCAGCAATATTTATGTGGTCTCCTGTACATTGAATAACTTATGCCATGACAAGTTAATAACACTTGTGGTCAGTGGGCAGAGATTTACCTACCCTTTGATTTTGCTGGCCAAGCCAAAACTATATATGTATTTCCTAATGGCAAGTAGCTTTCAAGACCATCATCCCATGGGGGCTTGCAGTGTGTCACATGCCACAGAACAGCCCACAGAAGAATGTTTTACTCCAGAGAAGAAATCACAGAGAACCCCCATGAGAAGTTGTTGCTTCCAGGTTGTACATCTGCTTAATCCCCATGCACACAGGTAGCCCACCTGGAGTGAACTTATTATCTCTTTGCCTATAAAAATTTTTGTTTATACTATCACATATAATAAAATCCAGTAAGATACAACATGATAAAACCAAGGGAGACAAAAGAACAACAGTTTGGTGGAACTTCAAAACAAGATGATATTAAATCAGCACTAGCTATTTTGATGTCTTGTTTTCTTCAAAATAGCTGTTCATATCATCACAGACAATAATAACAAACAGCCCAGAATAAAACCATTCCAATTAATAAGTGAAAACTTTATAAGGCTTCAAAGCCACATAATGGTGAATCATGATTACCACATACTTTTATATATTTGAATCATTTCTTATACTAGGGAAATGATTCAAATACATATAAACATATCCAAATATTTGTTGTTAAAATGAAATTTTGAGAATGGAGAAAAGGCATTTTCTGACCTCCACTCTTCATCAAGAGGCATTGCTTTGCTGCTTCTGTTTTAGGCATCTGTCTAGCTCATACCAAAAGGATGGGTCAGTGGTTTGGGAGCTAGGTCTGCCTTGGTGAGGGACCTTTCAGTCATGATTAAATATAGTAGAGTGCCTGACCACTCTCTCTGAGACACAACGCTAGGGGACGCTAATACAGAGGTGAAAACCCAAGCTTTGCCCTCAAGGCAAGCAGCCCAGGCATCCCTTGCCCCAGATAAGCCTTGAGGTCAGGCCTTTAGGAGGTCACAACAAGGTTCCCTTCTGCCATAACAGGCAAGTCTTTTGCACCATGCCCTACTAAAGAAAACTCAGCAAAAAACAACAAAAAAACAATTAACTGTTTAATTCAGTTCTATCTTTAAATTTGATATTTTGCTTTGTGTTTTATGATTCCTTTTTTTACTATATGTATGCATCAAAAATCTCAGATGGACATAGTGGGTGCCCAGTTGTAATCTCAGTGCTCTGGGAGGCTGAGGCAGGAGGAACACAATTTTGAGCCCATCCTGGGCAACTTAGTGACATAATGAGAAAGAGCTGGTGATGTAGCTCAGTGTGCAGGCCCTGGGTTTGATCTCTAGTATTGCAAAAAAAATCTTATTATCGTGATTTGTGCCTTACTTTATATTATTCCTTTCATGGTAACCTATCACTCGTAAATGGCACTATGGTTTAAAGCAACACATCTGAGTGTTTCAAAAGAGAAGTTTTGTAAATTGAATCTTACTTATCAGAAACCTATGGTGGCATCTTTTGTTTCTATCCCTCCATTTATTACTCAAACTACAAATTCCTCCATTGGTTACATCTACATTACTATCTACAGTAAAGCCTCAGTTGAATCTGTCAGATTATGGGCTGTTCTGATTGTTTTTGTGATTAAACAGAAATACTTCTGCCTGAGTAAGTAGCGCCTGTTTATTACCTCCAAAGAAGTTTGTGGGGACTTGAACAAATCTTTAGACTATCAAAGTTGGAGATGACAGAGATTAAAAGAATGAAAAGCAAATATTTGGTGAGCCTAATGTTACCATAAATTTGATATAAACTTGCTTTCATGTGACTTAGTTCTTTTTCCTAAGAGTAATCACAATAAATGCAGTTCTAGTTATCAAAGATTAATTGGGTTTCTTACCCTCATCGCTGACCTCCAGAGTGTCTAGATTGACAGATACTTCACTTGCTGAGTCAGTCATGATAGGATGACTAAAATAAAATACAAAGAGAAAAAGAAGAGAATCATTTTAAATCCAGCACATAACACAGTGATTTCATCATATCCCTTCTTTAGTTAGACTCTTAAACTACCTAAGAAAACATGTACAAATGAAATTGCCATTAGGAAGAATTACTCTTTTTCAAACGACAGTGATTTCATTAACATGAAATGTCCAAAAGAGGCAAATGCTTATTACACAGGGAGAATTTCTTGCTTAGAGATAGGAGGATGGGGTTTCTTGGGGTAATAGATGAAGAATCGCTGAGCTGTGCTTGGCCAGCTTGATAAACATGGTGGAAGCCTTAGGATCTGCCACTAAGGAAGACATTGGGGGGAAAATTACCTCTTCACTTTAGAGAAGTCCATAGAAAAGGAGCCTGTTCCCAAAATGCCATGCCACCATAGCTTACCATTGCTCTTGGGCCATCACTGCCACAGGTAGAAGAAAAAGAAATAACCGCTGAGAAAAATATTAAATTAAAAGGGAGAGCAAAGAACTAGGGCATCTTGCCAGCATCTAAACACCGGAAGCATTAATACAATAGTTCAATTTAATCCTTGAGTTCAGATGATGTGGTAAAACCATATACGCCACATGTAACATACTTTCAGACATACTTGCCTTACCAAATCCTAACAGCTTTGAGGACAAAACTGTCAACCAGCCACATATTTGGGGTACCCAGCATCATCTTCCCTCCTAAAAAACTGGAAATTACAACAAAACACACAACCCTCCAAACCCTTTTCCTGTTACCACCTCATTGTTGCATCTCTTGAAAGCAAAACTAAAGAGTTACCTGTACTCACTACGTTTATGTCTTCGATTCTTATTCTTGTGAGCCCTGTCCAACCAGGCTTCCAAACTCAACTTCTTCCAACCGCAACACTAAAGTTCTCTTCCCAAATGCAACAGGGGTCATCTGACGGCATCTGACTCCCTTTTTGACCACTCCCTCTTTTTGGATAATTGTATCACTTGTCTTTCAGAACATCACATTCCTCTGCTTTTCTCCCTACCTCACTGGCTGTTCCTTCTCAGTGTTCTTTGTTGTATCTTCCTCCTCTTCCAGATCTTGAAATGTAGCACCCAAACTTCTGTCCTTGGCCCCTTCTTTATCAACAACCATTTCCTAGACCAGCAACAACAAATGGCAATGTTAACATGAACAAAATTACAAGCTGCATGTGTGATTTTAAGTTTTCTAATAGCCATATTTTTAAATAATGATGAAAACAACTCCCCAAACAGGTGAAAGTATTTTTAATGATGCATTTTATTTAACCTAATATAATGAAATATTATTTCCATATGTTCATAGCATATTTTACAGTCTTCTTTTCACACTAAGCTGCCACATCAGTTGCATCAGCCCGTTTCTCAAAAGTGCCCCAAGTGGTCTGCCTTCTAGCTCAGAGTAAAATTCCAGCCCCTCATCTTGGGTCTTATATGATCAGACCTCACTTCCATGCTGTGCTGATCATCAGCCCTGCTACCCTGCCATTTCACCTCTCTGCTCAGGCCTCACTGAGTGTCATGGTATCTCCAGCACACCAAGCCCCTTTCAGTCTCAAGGTCTGTATTAGCTGCTTCTCCTGCCAGGAGTACTCTTTCTAAATAGCTGCACATCTGGCTCCTCGGTAGCATTTAAGTATATTGAAGCATTCAGTATTACTTCCCCTAGAGAGCATTTCCATGATCATTCTAGTTAGAGCACTTCCCATGTCTCCATCACATTATCCTTTATCAACATCTTCATAGTGCTTATAACTGCCTGAAATCATATTCTTTTCTGTTTTTTAACATTCTATTTTTATTGGTATATTTTTGCAGTATATAATGGTTATATTCCTCATGGGGAATTGTTACAAAATCATGTTCTATGTAACTAATTTAGTTATTGGTTTCTTATCCAGCTCTGCTGCTGGAATATAAATGCCATAAGAACAGAAGCTTTATGTATTTTGTTCATCTCAGGTGCTTCCAGCACCGAGAATGGTACCTAGAACAGAAGAGCCACAGAATTTACTGGTGGATTAAATGTGGCAGGTGAAAAGAATAGTAGACATTCAATAGTAATATATTTGTTAAATGAACGCGTAAGTTCAATGAAAAAATAGAAATAATCTAGGAACCATCTTTTGGTGAGCAATAGAATTAGTGGCTGTACAGAAAATGTGGTATTTATGCACAATGGAATGTTGCTCTGCCATAAAGAAGGATAAACTGAGTCACTGGTAGGAAAGTAGAGGCACCTGGAAACCATAGTGTTAGGTGAAATAAATCAGACACACAAACTTAAATGTCACATAGTTTCCCTTATATGAGAAATTTAAAGCATAAGCAAACTAAAGAGAAAAATAAACAATAAGAAAAAATAAAGATACAGATCTTTTGCAAACAGACAGGGAACAAAGTTGGAGGGTGGAGGAGGAAGGGGAGGGGAACGGGATAAAAAAAGAATCGAGCTTCATTACGTCCATGTTCCAACGTCCTGCAGTGAATGCAATCATTATGTACTGCAAATTGGTACAGTATGAATATCTTTTTTAAAAAGAAGCAGTGGCTAGACCCTTCTGGATGTGGAAGAGGTTTATCTTCCTACTTAACAGCCACCTCCAGTAAAAGAAATTCTTTTCTTTCATCCTCAGGTGGACTTTATAAAAGAGAAATTTGTTTCCTGTTATGGTTTGGATCTTAAGTGTCCCCAAAGACTCATATGTCCAAGGCTTGATCCACAGTGCAACTGTATTCAGAGGTAGGACCTTTGGAAGGTGATTGGATAATTAGGGTTCTGACTTCTTCAGTGGATTCATCCATTTATAGGTTGGTAGCTTAGTGGATTGGGGAAAGGGGCTTATTATAAAAGCGAGTTCTTTCTGCTTTCTGGCTTTCATGAGCTAAGCGACTTTCCTCCAACCACATCCTTCCACCATGAGGTTCTGCCTAGCAATAGCCTAAGTAACCAGGCCAAATGACCATGAACTTAAATATCTGAAACCATGGGCCAAAATAGTTGTTTCCTCCTGTTGGTTGATGTCTCCCACAATGACACAATGCTGACTAGCACACTTCCCAAGTCACCCCTCATAGAGGTGTCACTGTGTTTCTCTCATGTATCTCATTATCCCTGATATAAATTTAAAATGAATTTATTTTTTGTATGTTTGGTTTTTTGTCAGTACTGGGACTCAAACTAGCAACAGCAGGCTTGCAAGGCAGGCGCTTATTCTGCTGAGCTAAATCCCCAGCCCAATGAATTTATCCTTGAATCATACCAGGACAATTAATGGGTATCTGGCCTATACTTTTATTTATATTCAGGCAAAACTGTTATTTCACTGAAGTCTCAAAAAAGTAACAATGTCATCAGCCTCCCATGCTAAAGGTTATTCAACCACTTTCTGCTGCTCACAGGACAAAAGCCAAGCTCATAATACTTAAGGGTCTCTGAAATCTTGGGCCCTGTGCCCCCTGATCTCCCAATAGCCCACTCCCACTCACAGGTCTCCCAGAATCACCATTCTGTAAGCACACTACATTCTCTTATTTCTTGTGTGTTTTACACACCCTGCCCACTTGGCCGGAAACACAATCCTCCTAATCTTCATATCCTTGAAATCTGACACATTTTTCAAGGTACTGCTCAAAGGTAACAAGCTCTGCCCTGGTAGTGGCCCTATGTTTACACCTTTGCTATAGCTGATGTCACCTAAAGTACAGGAACATCATCTCCACGGAGCACAATACTAAGCAACACAGAAAGTGTTACTGTGTGTGTAAGCAAGGATGAATTCAGGAGTAGGTAAGCAAGTATATCAGAGTGGCAAGTAGCAATCAATGGGGAAACTGGGCCCCTTGTTGAAACATATGGGACAATCTGAGACACACTTTATAAGTGAAGGACCTCTCTGCATGAAATCATATGGAAAAACTGGTGAACCTAGTAAAGAAAGAGGAAAGGTAAGTTTTTGTTCAGTGTGTGATGACAGGCCTACAGAGCTACATCCAAAGAGCATTAAATCATGCAATAATGGTCATCAGGAACTCTGGCCCAGCCAGGATATAAAGTTGCATTATCAAGTCGTTATTAACATGCATGTCTGCTTCTCACTTAGGCCTGAGAGCTGCTCTTTTCTTCACCGCCTTCCCAGTTAAGGGCCAAATAAGAGCTCTTGGGGAAAAAGAGGAAAAACAAGGAATAAAGGCCTATCTGCCAAGGGTGTTGAAATTGTTTAACCATACTCTGATTTAGGTTCATAGATTCAGAAAACTTTTTTTGGCAGCTTTGCTGCCTTCCCAGAATGCAGAATGCTAATGGAAAGCAGCTGGCCTCTTGTTTTTCTTTAAAAAACAAAAGGAAACGATGTAATTATAAAATTTTTTTTAAGATTCTATTGTAAACAGACTTCTAAAATGGCCCCCAGGATTTTCATTGGTGGTATAGTGAATGTGAGGGGCCCTAATCTAATTAGGTGAAACTTTTAAAAAGGAATCTCCAGGTCAGTCACAAAAGTCAGATTTGATGGTGCAGTAGATACTTCCTTGATGACCTTAAAGGAACAAACTGCCATGTGGTGGAAAGTCACCTGGCAGGCGATGGCAGGGGGCCTCTAGTAGCTGTGAGCAAACTTAAATTACCAGTTACCAAGAAACCAAGCACCTTAGCCCTGTGGCCTCAAAAACCAAATTCTGCCAACAATCAGTTTGGAGGATGACCTTAAACCTCAGACAAGACCTCGGCCCTGGCTGACACATTGATTACTGTCTGGTCAGATCCTAAATGGATGATCCAGTTAAACCATACCTCAACTCTTAGCTCATGGAAGCTGAGACATAGTAAATTTATGTTGACTAAATTCTTTGTTATTTGTTAAACGGCAATAGAAAAGTAACAGAGTCCTAGAGGCCCCAGCTCCAGTTAAGAAAAAAGCCCAAAATGGGGTAGGTTTGGAGCCATGTAAGCTGCAACACAGAACTATGCCCAGAATCCCATAAGAGCATCATCAGTACCCTACAACAAACTCTTCTTTAGGTAGAAGCTACTTTACCACTTTCTCAACTGAGTTGTGAGCTGCAGACCTTGCCAAAATGTTATAACATGCAAAACTCCCTCAAAAGTTCATCTTGTTTGAAATAACTTTTCCTATCCCCAAGACAATGTCTTCAACCCCTTTAAAACTAGAGCTATATTTTGTGCGTTCAACTAAGGATGCATCTGTCTGCCAAACAGTGGATGGAAGTCCTGGAGTTGCTCTTTCGGAGGTATGGCATAGGCAGAGAATGGAGGTGATTAACTTTTTCTTTGAAACTGCTCATCCAGCTCTACAGGAATTTTCTGAGGCCAGGTTACTAATTTATTCAGGATCCTGGGGTCCTACTGACATGAAAGTATCATGAGTGTTCTATATTCCTTATTAATTGTAAAATAAACTACTCTGTAGTGGAGAAGAAGCTATAATTACCCTTCCTTCCTCTTTTCCTTGCATAGGTTGGCAGACAAGTCAGCCCTTGGAGTGCAGCCCTTGAATACTCCCTGATGAGGACAGCTGCTCCTCAGATGGCACAGTGGGCTCCATGAGCCTACCAGTAGTCAGTATGGCTCTATTTTGGGCAGTCATCGCACCATTTGGCAGAATTCATTTTGTTGAGTAGAGGTTTGATACCAAGTTTTACCAAGGTACAACTACTTCCATGCAGAAATCAGGGCTTTCCAAGGTAGTTGGCATGATTGGCATTTCCCCAACAGGGACTAAGAGCAGCAGCAGCTCTCAGCAGGCTAAAGGTCAACAAGTTAGCCTTCAAATTTGTTTGCTTGTGCTCCTGACAGCAAGTGTGTGTACCCTCATAGGAACCTAGATAGAGATGATAACCTTGATGATCATTTATTCAGACTCCGAGAGCCCTGAATGAGTATCTACTCAAAGCATAGACACTGCATGGCTTCTGTGGCACATTATTTGACATGATATCTGTGGCAACTTCTCCTAAGCCAGCCCACAAAATGCTTGTGTCAACGACAAGACAT